TCAAGACGTGCAACATACCTAGACGACTGTCTCGACGAGAGCTTTCCAACGCCACCGAGATCGCAGCCGTCCGAATTTTCACGCGCCCGCACACGCCGCCGTAAGTTCCCAGACTGCAAGTTTTGCCTTCATCCGTTTGCACCCGTTTGATCCAATTTTCGATCCGATCTTGTTCGTGCAACCCTAGGACGCAATTTGCAGTCAACTTTTCATTGGTGTGCTGGGTACGACCATCCAGAAGATCAGCCAGATCGCCATAAGTTTTAAGCCGTAAGTTCTCTACGCAAACCTTTAGATCCGCTGCGCATAGGTTTACGTTTGCTATTGAATTCGTGATTTGTACATAACGAGATCCTCATAGATCCCAACAATGTCACTACAAGAAATCTGCCAAAAAGTGACGAAATTCATGCGACGAAAAAAAATCGTCACCATTTGTTGTCTCATGGTGACGAATTTAAAAAATTGTCATTACATCATTGCATACGGCGATGACTACTACATTCGTCATCTTAGAATTTATTTTTCGTCACATAATGGTATTTTCACGACACTGCACCAAAATTTCGTCACCTATACATCTAAATCCGTCACATGTATATAAAATGTGACGAAATTAAATGTGACAAACAAAATGTTGTCATTATTGTTGTTATTTAAAATGACGCTTACGACTAATTCGTCATTATATAATTACTTATTGTGACGATACGTTATAATACATCTAAATTCGTCACACTCATAGATATTATGACGGAATTCAGTGCGACGAAATAAATTTCGTTGTTTTTTTATTTATTTAAAATGACGCTTACAAAAGACTCGTCATTATATAATTTTGTTTTGTGACGATAAGTTATAATTCATCTAAATTCCTCACATTAATACATATTATGATGAAATTCAGTATGACGAAAACAAATTCGTTTTTTTTTTTTTTTTTTTTTTAAATGACGCTTACAAAAAATCGTCATTATATAATTTTGTTTTGTGACGGTAACTTATAATACATCTAAATTCGTCGCATTAATACATATTATGACGAAGTCACTGTGATGAATCAAATCGTTGTGTTTTTATTATAATTAAAACAACGCTTGCGTATAATTCGTCATTATATATGTAACGCCCCGTTCGATATATAGAATTTCTCAGAATATTCTATTTATCGATTATTATTTATAAGGTTATATTTATTTTATTAGTCGCGATGTCGACATAAATAGAAGGTTGGAACACTCGATCGTTTTATTGAAAAACATTCGTCGCTTGGCGATTTCGGTTCAATCGCATGACTCGAATATAATCTGTTTGAATAATGGATTTTTCGTATATTTCAGCACTATCGATGTTGCTAGTTTATTTCCGAGCAATATATATATTTTGGATTTTGAACCCGATAAATCGGTAG